CTGCCAAGAATGATAACTGCAAGGTAAAATGCTCTGTAGAATAATTTGGTAATGACACTAACATTGAGGATCTGTGATCAGAAAGAGAACTGGTCCAGAAATTCCCCTGATTGCTTTCTTCATGTCCTCTCTGTGTGTACACAGTCTTGGGAATCTTTTGGATTAAGATATGAAGTGCATTGACATTACTATTTCAAAATGTAGCAATGAGGATTTAAAGGGGGACAAAACATTTTCTTCCTCTCTTCTGGTGTGAAAAGAGTAGCCATGTTTTAAAGGGAAGAGAAACTTGAATGTGATGGGGATGAGAGGGGCATATATTGAATTCACAGCTGATTCAACCATCATCATAACAGCTCTTGCCACACCTGATGATGGTGCTCCTCATGAAGACCCAACTCAGCCAACTCTGCCTTCAGAAAACGAAGCAGCACAGAGCACTGAAGGCATCACACATTTCACTGATGCCCCTGGGGCTCCAGTTCTCCTTGGGCTGGATCCCGCCAGTACAGATGAAGCTGGTGAGGAATCTCTGCTCACAAATACCAGTAAGGATAATGAATCAAGCTCATTTCTCACACAGTGTGTGAAATGAGATGTTATTTCTTCTGAAATTGACAACTTCTACTCTCTTTCTCATCTTTGGGTCTACATTCTTCTTTTAAACTTGCAGTATCATAAACTGTTTTATAATCCTGTTGCATGTTAATATCTGAATAAGAAATTCTATTCATCAAGAACATTCTTCCCTGGGCATCCTTTTTCTTATGCCTTCCAGTTCTTCACATGTTGATTTTAGTGGGATTTCATTCTTAGAAAAGATTGTTTTTAGAGTAAATGAATCATATGCTTAAAAGCAGGTATTTATACCCATTCACTCTTGCTCTTGCTATTGTCACAGATGACATTAGCACTGTAAATTTAAAAAAAAAACCAACACTGTGTTGTTCATGAAGATCTATGAGTTTTTGCTCCTAAGTTTTGTAAGTTAACCTATTGAAAAGGCCTGAATATTATCCTATTGAATTATCCCCTATCACAACACTGGAGCTTTACTCTAAATTTTTGTTTGTTTGTTTAATCATGGAGTCTTGATATTGTAGTGCTTTGGAAATTTTTCGTCCCTTGTATTTTCTTAAGAGTAACAAATCTGCAAATAACCTCTATGGGAAAAAGTAATATTTATGCTTTCCCTTTTCTTCTTCGCCTTCGGTTTTCTTCAGGATTACTTTAACTCTTGGGCTATAAAAAATGAAGTTTGCATTGGCAAAAGACAGCATGTTTCTCCACTTCCTCCTTTTGTTTGCTATGCATGGAAGGGATCACGTGAAGCTTTATCATTTATTTTCATCAGCATGTTAAGCTTTTTGTGGTCTGACAGATCAATTACAAATACAAAAACCCAAATAGGATTTGAAAATTTACTCAAATACTTTCAAACAGGTCACTGAAATTTTACTGTTAGGTAATGATGGGTATCATAATATTCATTTTATTTTAAAAATAGCATGATTTATTTCCCTCTTAAATAGTGATTACTAGATATTTTCAAAGATAACACTGTAGGCTACAGTTTTTGGAAATTAATGTTTTGGTTTCTCATTTTACTTCATAATGTTGAATTTTAGTGGTAAATTTTTCATCACTATTGATGTTTATTACTGAGATTGTATTTTGTGGCATTTGGATATTCTTCAAGTGCATCCAATTAGTCTGTGCTGCTTCTTAGCATGCTTTTGTGACATCCTTATTCCTTTACATTGACAATAGCCTCTTTAGAAAAAGAGCACTGTCTTAATGATGTAGGAAAGATATTCATTAAGTAGTTCAATTCCGTAATCCTCCATGTGAATTCATTTTAAATTTCCTAATGGGAAATGAGCACACATTTTTTTATGATTATCTCATGGAAAAGCAGAGATGGATAAATAAGTGAAAAGAAAAAAAAAAAAAAGGACTTTTTTTTAACATGATGATATTATCAGTCTTAAATAGTTAGGTCTAAATAGCTGCTACTTAGATTTTGGTAGATTTGCATGCTTGAAAAATGACTAAAGTTTTGGAAACAAGTATGTAACTATTAGAGTGTTTGATAGAACAATAGTAAAGGAACAAAAAAGTAAAAATAATGAACGATCCAGATCTTTTTCTTTGTCCTACTTTTTTTTTTTTTTTCCCCTAACTCTATTCTCTACAGAGACTAATGAAGGAAAAGGTAGAACTTGATAAATGAAATAAAGAGAAAAATTGATAAGGTAGGGATATGTAAAAACCTTTGAAGTTAACTTAGCCATCATCACATCACAACAGTCACAGACTCCAGTGCTGTTCTGAAACCAGAAGATGTAACCCAAGAAGTGTGGACACCTCGAGTCATTGACACAGCACTTGCCACACCTGATGATGGTGCTCCTCATGAAGACCCAACTCAGCCAACTCTGCCTTCAGAAAACAAAGCAGCACAGAGCACTGAAGGCATCACACATTCCACTGATGCCCCTGGGGATCCAGTTCTCCTTGGGCTGGATCCCGCCAGTACAGATGAAGCTGGTGAGGAATCTCTGCTCACAAGTACCAGTAAGAATAATGGATCAAGCTCATTTCTCACACAGCGTGTGAAATGAGACGTTATTTCTTCTGAAATTGACGACTTCTACTCTCTTTCTCATCTTTGGGTCTACATTCTTCTTTTAGACTTGCAGTGCAAAATTTGTGGCGGGATCTGATCTGCTGTTAGAGTGCCCTTCTGCACTTGGCGTAAGGGTCTCCTTGCTGTTGTGTTTGGTGGTTTCCGTTCTTTGCTGAAGCATGTTTCTGCAGGGGCAGCCTCTTGTCTTTTCTGCCTGTCACATATTTTGGTGACCCTGAATTTCCAGCCTCATCCTCCTCTCCTGCACATCAATGAGATCAGGCTTGGTGTGCTCTGGTGACACAGTTGGTGTGGTGGAGGTGCTCTGTTGGGGTTAGCTGGGCGACTTGCTCTTGTGACTCAGCAGTGACACCGTCTCCAGGGAGTGTTGTCCTGGTGGTAAGGGCAGGGCAGTCGCACAGGAACCGTGCCCTACACGTTCTGTCTTTAATTCCTTGTACCTCCTTGCCTGTGCAGAACCACCGCAAATCTGGCTGTGGTGTGAGCACTCACTCCTGAGTTACGGGATCAGGTTTCCTGCTGTGGTCTCTTCTTCTGAAGGTCTTCCCTCTCCACCTGTCACTGGCGTATATGGATACAGCCAACATCTTCCTACAATGTGGCAAGCACATGCTACTTAGGGGTCTCAAAAGCCACTGACAATGTGGAAGGAGAAGGGGAGTCCTTCATGCCTTCTCTCCCGACATGCTTTCAGCCAGGTGGCAGGACATGCTTTCTGGTGCACTGTGATATAGGTAGGAGGGAAGCAATGTGGGTGGAGGTTTGGTTGGCCTTTAAAGCTGATTGTGCCATCGTCCCGGCAGTCGCAGTGTCCACAGATGTTTTCCACCCAGAAGAAGCAACCAGCAGGCCCCTGGCACCCAGCACTCAGCCTGGAAGTGAAAGTGGACAAGCAAATGCCACAGATGGCTCTCATGTCAGTTTGATACCTGGAGTTTTTCCAGACATTAATGATCATCTTAACCCATTACCGACTCATCTTTCCACTAGTAAGAACTGCTACTTAATTGAATTTTCTGTATGGCAGAAAAAATACAGATAGTCTTGAGTAGAAAATGAGTGTTACTGAGTTATAGAATTTTTTTTCTGCCAAGAATGATAACTGCAAGGTAAAATGCTCTGTAGAATAATTT